CATACCCTGGAAATTGAAGCCAAAAAACAATGAAACAGTAGTATTTAACCACTTACTAGGTGCAAGCTTTCATCAAATGTTTCAGCCATCATTACCTTGTAAAGAATACACACAATTTTACCCCTAATTATTAACTCCTTACTGGGATAAGATTGTAACTCACAAATTAATGGAGTTGGTTTAGTGTCAAGCCCTCAACTTTATTTCCAAACTACCATCCAATACCTTTCTTCATATGTTCATATACATTGGAATCTTTTTATATATGAGTTTTTTTTAGTGGGCGTCAATTTCACGTAATCTATCATGTATATATATATATATATATATATTAACAATTATTACTCTTTCTTATATATATATATATATATATATTTTTTTTAATTAATCTTACATTTCTAAAAATTTAGTACGTGAAATATATTTTAACGAGTGTCCAATAGACATTCTTAGATAGATCCGCACGCAGGGTAAAGGTACTACTTTTGAATGCAATTGCTTCTGTGGGGCTGGGTAATAATATCTAATTTAATGAGTGCTTAAGCAATGAAGATTGAGACAGTGCCAAATGTACAGTTTTCTCGTCATCTAGGACAACAATTTAATCCTGAAAATGCTCATTAAGAAAGGACCCCAACATTTTCTTATAGTCCAGGTCTCCATCATAATCTTATCTCAAACTTGTTCAAATTTCATAGGCCAAGCCAGAGAAAACAACTTGGAAATACACCTAAAGAAAAGCCACCCACAGTAAACCAGCAGACTTGGAATCTCTAGTTGTTGGGATTTCAAGATGTCTCTATTCATGTTCTGCTGACAACAGAAAACCAAAAGGGAACCCATTTTCTTTTCTTCCGGAGACAGAAATCTCCATCTCAAGGGGAAGAAAAAAATTCCCTTGAAATCTATCAAAACTCATGTTTCTGCTTTGAGATTTCCTCTAAAGATGGTGCAAAGAAAGGTGAGCAACAAGCTTGGTATCCATGCTGATCAGGATAAATCCAACAAGCTGTTGGTGAACCTCAAACCATCAACTCTGCAGCATCAGGATGCCAGAAACAAAGGAGCTGATTTGAAGAAGAAAATGAAGAAATCAAGACCAATCAGGCGTTCTGATCTTGAACGCCTTGGTTCGCCAAATATGAGAAGGCAAGTACCTCAGCCTGGAAAGCCACCACCACCAAAACCACCACCTCCAGTATTTCCAAACACCTCTGAATCCCCACAGAAGAAGTCCCCGGTCAAAACATCAGAAACAACACCAAACTATATGAAGGCAACTACCAGTTCTGATGCAAGGAAAGAACGTTCTCAGGTGAGTTCCAGGAACCTTCAAACTCTCTTTGGTAGTCAAAGCTCAGGCAGGAAGGATTCAAATAGCTCAAAAATGAGCTCAGGTTCTGTTCACAAGGCAGCAAGAGTTTTAGGTAGGACATCCAGTTCGAAACTAGTTAGGACACTAACAAAAACAACTAGTTTTAAACCAGCAAGAGCTTCAGCCAAAAAATGCTCCCCTCTTGTCCTAAGTGAAAATCTAAATGTTCAGAGAGCAACCTGTTCTTCAACTTTGAAGGACTCAAAATTTCCAGCTTACCTTGCACTTAGTTCCGGAGCAACAGAAGCAGAAGGAACCTCTGTCATGAAAGTCTGCCCCTTTACTTACTGTTCTTTGAATGGTCATCATCATCCTCCTTTACCACCATTAAAAAGCTTCTTGTCTGCAAGAAGGCGCCTGCTGAAGACTCAAAGAAGTTTCAAACTGGGATGTCTCTCCCCACGACGATCAAAGCCGGTTAGCAGCAGTACGGAAGAAATTCAGGTTGAGCAGAACCATGAGAAATCTTCATCTCAAGAACCATGGGACAGTTCAATGAGTAGCCCAGTCATAGAAGAAAAGCAAACTGATTTCTTCGTTCAGATTTACGGTAAAGGAAGGGAAACTAAAGTTGATATCACTGATTCTTCTCTCAACCATATCAGGCCTGCAGTTGAGGGAAGACCAAGTGGTGGTGAAACACCAACACAAGTTGACAACAGACAAGTTCTTGCAATACCATCAGATGAACCCCCTTTCTCTGAGATGGATTCTCATGATGATAGCAGCAAAATCATTGATGCTGCTTCATCAGTCATTGAAGTGGCTGATTATTGTGAGGCAGAGAGTTACTCAACTATGGATCTTGATTATGAACCTGACAGCTCACTGCAAAGCATCCAAGATTCTGATTTAGGAGGAGATTCACCTGAGTTTGGAAGCTGTATAATTCCTGAAGTATCCATTTTCAAATCAGCTATTACAAATAGGTGCTTTGGGGAAATTCAGGCAGGTACGATCCTGAAACAATCATCTGATGAAGAATCCATTGATAAAGAAAGTGTGAGCTCTAAAGCAAGTTCATTTTCAGATTATTGGGCAGAGGATTATGTTGAAGGGCTTGATGATGGAAGTCATGATGAATTAGGTCTTCAGTTTAAAGATGAATCTTTCGAGCCTATCAAGACACAGGATCTCATTGATTATCTCAAGGATGGAATTGTGCAGAATGATGTTGAAGCCGAACAGGTACAGGGCCCAGATTCGCAAGATTTTCATGATATGATTGAAGAAAGTTGTGAAGATGGGATGGAAGAGAATGAGCAAGGTGATCCTTTTAAAGCACCTACCAAGATTGAAATTTGCATTTCTCTGCATAGTTCAGCTGAGGCCACCGGGGACATGTCAGCAAAGGATTGCAAGGACAATAACCTGGAGGACATTCGAATTGGTGGAAAATCAGATCGAACTTCGGCAAATATGGAACTAACAAAAGGAGCTCCAGATCAATCAGCTCATGACAACTCCATAAGCAGTGGTTGCGAAAATCTAAATTGCTTGGAAGAAAATGAAGCTGGGAACTTCAAAACGATAGCATCTGCTGATTTAGGAGGAGAAAAAGCAAACCCCACACCCAAGAATGCATGTGGCGGTACACAAAATGACTGTAAGGGAAGCCTTTCATGTCAAGAATTGGCTGAAACATGCAAAAGGAGGAGCTGGAGAACTGGATGCAAAAGATCTACTGAAGAGTACCAGGAATTGAAAGAATTCAATCCAAAAGCACCAAATTTTCTGCCACTGGAGCCTGACCCGGAAGCAGAGAAGGTTGATCTCAAGCATCAAACAATCGATGAAAGGAGAAATGCAGACGAATGGATGCTGGATTGTGCTATTCAAAAGGCAGTCAACAAACTTGGTCCAGCGCGCAAGAAGAAGGTTGCATTGCTTGTTGAAGCTTTTGAAACAGTTATGCCAGTATCCAGATATGATACCCAACCGAGTCACAGCTCATTCCCATTCAGTCATGCAAGGCCAATTCAAGCTTGCAGTTGATGCCACTCTGGTGACGATTAAAACTTTTTCTCTTTGATAACTTATTCATCTCTGAAATTTACTCATAAAAGATCCATTCACAGTTCAAATTCTGCTAACGTATGACAATTTCTCTTATTCTCGTTGCAGTGAACAGAGAAGAAACATCTGCAATTATACGTACTCGTGGGAGATGACAAACTGAAGAAGGTTTACACCAAGAAGCTAGTAGTTGATTGATCCAGCTTTACCAGAGAAGCAGCAGCTTCATATCTTGAATTGTTGGGTCAGAATATTAATGATATATCACCGTTTCTTGTAAGATATTCTGTCAATCTTCAAGTTGAGACCATTTGTTTGAAGTTCGTGTGGTACTTTTATTGTGTTAAACAGCCTTATCAGTGTTTTTGTTGTTGGTGAAGTTAATTTCACCATTTTATTTATGTGCAAGAGTAGTTTATGCGTGTTCCAAAAATTCAACAACTGAATCTTATGGCAATTCACAATTTCTACTTCACATAACAATTGCTACATCGCTAGACTACCTTGCCTCTTGTTCCTGTGAAATAAACATGAACAGAAATGATCAATTTCTACTTCAGGCCAATATATAACAGAAATTATCAACTTTACCCCACGGTCTTATTTATTTATCATGACTTCTAGTGACCCCAAGAATACTCTAAAACTCATCCACTTTGCCTTTTCTAATTTATTTATCATTTATATCTATTTCAACAAGCATAAGTACGATTAAACTCATCCCGAGAATGAACTGACCCTTTTCATTTTGTTTCGATTTTTTCAGCAACCAAATAAATTATTCAAGAAAAAATAAACAAACATGTAATAAATTGGCAACGTCTAGTGAAATGTGATAAGTTCAATGCTCGGATATGTAAATGAGTCAGAAGGTTGAATCTTACTAGTTCTAGGCTACATAAAAAGTTTAAGTATTTAAAAATGATTCTTTCTAATAAAATGAAAATTTCAAAAAGCTACGAAACATCATATACTCACCAAAAAACATTTGATATATAAATAACTATGCGTGCGTTAGACTATGACTTGTTTGACAAGCAAGTTTTTGGCAAAGTTTGCCTGTTACACATTTGTTTTTAATAATTTTAACTATAATAATCTCAAAAAACTTCTAAAAAATTTTAAACTATACACTTCAAAATATCCAAAAATTTATACACTTCAAAAAAGTTTTCTACAACTTCTACAGTAAGTTACAGTAAAGTTTTAAATAAACATCTAAAAAACTCACTTGTCAAACGGGACTTATGTGACCAACAAAAAAAAAAAAACACTTAATTTTACACATTAATTAAATGACACAATTCTTGATTAAACATTAATACCATACAAAATATTTTGCACACTAATTTTCAATTTACCTTGTTTGGCTACTGAGCACTCCAAAACTAATGGAAAGTACATTCGAAATTTTCTTTTCTTTTTTTTTTTTTTTGGCCTTATGCATTTAGCTGAAAAGAACGAAGAGAAATGCTATATAAGTTGAACGGCAAAAATTTTTACATCTACAAACATCTTTTTAGTCAAGAAGCAGAACGAAAGGAGTAAAAACAGTAATAGAAATAAAATAAAAAATAATAACGTCAGGGATACCCTCTCAAGGAGGGCATTTTTGTCAAAGGAAAAATCCACATCATGTATTTGTATATTTTTGTACAGTGGAATTTTTCAAAGGAGATAAGTGCCCATTAATTTGGTTCAGAAGGGGTAAAGTACAATTCAGGCAAAAGCTTGAGGAGTAAAGTGTAATTAACCCTAAAAATATGTTTTTCATTTATCTCCAAAAACAAAATTTACTATACAACAATACTAACCATAAAAGCTCCGGTTACAAAAGTGGTATTGTCAAAGTTCACAGACTTTCAAGGTTGCCAAGAAGAACACGATTCAACTATTGAGATCAAGCAGAGTCAATCAAGCTATGTATGTTGCCCAAGCAGCTGGCTTGTATGGAATGCTTCAACGTCCAGGCTCAATATAGGCAGATGAGAAACCCTTCAAAACAGAAATGATATATCCGACAGATGCCTAGTTTTGCGTCGCTATCCAAAAGACGCCAAATATATTTCCTTTGGATGCACATACACCTAAGCATATTCCACGCATTACATGACAATTTTAAGTCATTCTAGGTGCACATCCATTGCAGAACATTGAACAAGAAGCAAGTTAAACTCCCGGACATAATGTTCAATAACATTTGCACCAGAACATTGGGCATGCAAATCTCCTGCATTGGAACTGGTTTCTGCATTCTCCCCATGCTCCATCAAATTGTTATTAAGGTGATCATGGAAGAACCTAAGTGCATCTGTTGCCGAAATACCACGCACTGATTCATGCAACTGCCGCAACTTGTTTCTTTTCTCCTCTGTCTCAACCAACCTCTCTTTTACCCCATCAGGAAGACAAACCCAAGCACTTCGTCAAGAGATGGAAGGAAAATTGTTAGTTCTCGGACTTTCATTTCATACTCCATTTCTTCGTCACCCCCCCCCCCCCCTCCTCTTCCCTCCTTGAGGTGAGGAAGAAAAAGAACTGGGATGCTAAAAGTGGTGGAAGGGAACTTAAAAGCAAAAGCAGGGGAGGGGTGGTGGCTAGGAATGAGGATTTGAACCCAAGACCTCTAAAAGCAGTGCAGTAAAAGTTCAATAATTTCTGTCTTATTATATTTACCTGGTAACGCCTCTGACAAGACCCCATGCTTGGCCAACAAATACAGATTCCTTAAAGCCTATGTTAAATCCCCCTTGAGCAGATGCTTCTTTTCCAGCTACCAGACCGTCACGATATCCAATCTGATAGTTCATCAGGATTTACAAATATTTATTATCTATTAAAAAAAATAGAACACACACATAAACTGGATGTGAAATAGCTTCATCATATTTCTTAATCCCAAGCTCTCAATAGCATCAAATTTCATTCTCACCTCCATGTACCTATTCTGATATTCTTATTTAAAGTCATGAACAGACTTCCCACATGATTATTATTTTAGGAGTTTCGGTTATCAGGCTATATCAGCATTAAATGAGGCACAATCACAAACTTGCTAACGTGCCAATTAGAACAAGGATACTGTATGAAATTGCTCGCGCCTCCTCTGCCACTCCCTTTCCATATCAAATGCTTTTTCAACTTTGTCTGTCTCATAGGGTAAAGCTCCATCATCATACCATAGTTCATCCCCATCACTATCTGAAATTAGACACTGATAAAATGTCAGGCTCACAGAACACATTGATGCACTATTAATTGATAAGCAATTAATTTGATTTTATTTAGACAAGAAGTTCTCCTCAGGGGTTTACTTAAGTGCTGCAGTAGCTATCTAGAATTGCCAGTCTTAACAGTTGGACCACTAGGCAGGAATTTTTTAAAAAAGTTATTTGGACTTTTCACAATCTAGGGCAACATTAGATTCTATAGCCCCGTTAATGGACATATTTGTGTACTGCAGCAATACGTTTTCCTCATCATATGATTCAGGTATCAAATTAAGCTCTCCTGGGTTGACTAATCCTCCTTTCCTTGTAGATTAATGTGTTCTCTCCTCGTTAATCTTTATCCTTAGCAGTTGCCATTATTTCCTGCATCACAGAACCTCGTAGCGCAACAAAAGCCCCAAAACCACAATTACCAACCATAATGATCCTGCCTAACCTGATGGTGATGGCATCTCAACTTTCAAGCATCTTTATATAAGGGTAGGACCACCAAGTAAACAAAGGCAATGCAGCCTGAAGGTAAGTGTGGGTTTTTTAAAAAACACTAATTTTCAAAGGCTTCGACAATGAGAACTTAATTTGATATTATATCTGCTCTCACAATTGAAAAATAGGAATTCACGCACCAGCAAAACTCAATGGTTCAGCAAACTGCACATCCCTGAAACAACAAAAGTTCCAACCACAAGAGTTTGATCTCGTCTATTTATCATGCTTAGCTCCTAAAGATGAATCTGATAACGGACTATAGCATGAACCATATTAACTCTTTAGAAGAGTTAATATATCTATCGAAATGGCGAATCAATCAAACCATGGGAACTGTTCAATCATCTTTAACCTCCACCAACTATTATATTTAAATCCTTACTAATTTGTCTGCTCATGCAAAATACTAATCAAACAAAAACATATTCAACTCGTAACCTGAAATATAAGCACCAAATGCATGACGCTTTTACAGACCCAAGCACAGCCATGACCTATCCCGCAGTCCAAAGAAAATACTAATGAACCATGCGCTTGAAAAATCAAATAAACCAGATTAAGCTCCAAGCTTTAGCATAGTTTTGCAAACTCGAGGTACATGAATTCTCTTATAGTTTTTTCAACAACTCAACAGTGTCCACCAATTTTTAAAGCATAAATACCACAGAGATAAAAATAAGACAGTTACTTTTATAGGAAATCCGGCTCCACTGTAATATGTCATCCTACTAGTATTGCTTCAGAACCATACTACTGTCAAGATTATGCAACAAGAAGAAGGAACTCTACTGGAAAAATGGAACTGGAATCAAGCACATCAAGGAGTAAGCTTTTTAAAAAGATAGGGTCTGCTGGTTTTGTTTGAGTCCTTCACATAAGAACCATTCAAGGGTTTAGCATATCATCTGACCTATAACACATATCTGACGGCAATATGATTCCTATCTGACACCAAAATGCAAAAGTGGACTATTTCCAGATAAGAATAAATTTGAATCTATAGGAAGCTCTGATGATACAGAAAGCACAACCGTGTCATTGTTTCTATTGCCTTTTTTCAGAATTCCTGGGAGGTTGATGGAAAATATAACAGAAATATCAGAAGTTTTCTAAAGAAAATGCCTTCTAAAAAACTATTAAAGTGACTCCCAAATAGCATTCATCTTTGTATAAAAAGAACTACTAGGCCCCAAGACCAGTTCACAGCATCGAAGGATAATAGCATGCACTCGAAGTATGTGGGTGAGAGGTTGCAGGAGAGTGGAAATTCCTACTTTCAAAACATCTTCATGAGTGAAGGCAGATACTAGATGCAATTCGATTGATTAGAAAAGTAGATTCTCGATAGGCAAGATTGAGAAAGGTGCGCTATTTGAACTAGACTTTCAGAATGCCTATGCTTGGCCACTATGTTTCTTACATAAATGAAAAAAATGGAGCCAGAAGTAGATAGAGTAATTAATTAAGCAGGTCAAGCGTAAGTTTTGCTGGTATAGTCAATTGATCACTAGTCAAATTGATTCAAACTATCAAAGAAAGGACATATAAAGGTTTCCCCAGAAAATTTAAGAATGGATAGAGGTGCAGTAATGCCCAATATAGAAAGAGATCATGAAGGTGCAGCAGTATCTCGCATAGTCACTGCATATGACACTAATGTTTTAAGAAGCAGGAGGAGAACACGTTACATAGTTTAGACAAGTTCCTATGAGGTATTAGCAATTCAAGGCTGAAACTGAACTTCAAGAAAGAATAATTGGATTCCAGCAGGTGCAGGAGTAGAACTGGCCCACGTTTTGGGATGCAAAGGGACTGTACTTCATATCCCGTATAAGACAACACTAACACTTTTACCAAAGAAGTTAATGAAATATATCTTTATCATGGGACTTTTTATCTACCTGTTCAATGATGTAAACTGCTATTTGGATAGATTAGAATGCAAGAAAACAAGGAACACTCATCTCTCTTTTTAGGCTTCATTTACTTGTTTCCTAGTAACCATACTAAGGTCATTTGGGAATGGTTTCATTAACAATACCCTTCAACAAACATTATCATGGATCTTTTTTTTTTTATATATATTTATAGTGTAAGTGGGAGGGCACAATTTTGGGCCCTGAACAACCCAACCCATCCCTCCCCCCCATCATGGATCATTTCTTAAAACAACAAAAGCACGCAATCCTAGGTTGTTTTCTGAGAACACAAGACCAATAGATTATCATGAATTTTGAATTGATTGTACTAATTAAGTGGCTCTCAATTCCAGAATACATGAACAGATTGACTAATAGCTAACAGAAGAAAAATGCTCAGAGTAAAAAACATACCATGTGAATTATGTACCGCACCATCAACATTTGACCTGGGATCTAAATGAATATTGGACACATTCAATAGATCACAGTAGAGCTCATCTGCTATGCTTCTTTCCATCTGTTCAACAAGTAGGTGAAATGTTAAAAATTTCATGTAACATTGAAAATCAGGGTTGCCAACAAGACAGTGGAATGAATGCAACTTTTTTTTGGGGGGTGGGGGGGTGTGGGTGGGGTGGAGGGGAGGGGAGTGGGGAGGAAGGGACTTAAATATAATTGAATTGGCATGATGCGGAGAAAGTAGCACATAAATGAAAAAGACAACAATACAAAAAATGAAGAGAACTTTTGATGGACCAAGACTTCAGAAGATTCAGGGCAAAACAGCATCTCTAGGAAAATATCTGAACTCCAACATGCACAGTGATAGAGAGAACTATAGCAAAGGAGGAAGGGATCCTCTCTTTTTCTTTTTTTTTTTTTTGGGCCGGGGGGTGGGGAGATGGTGGGTGCTGGAAAGGCAAGAACAAGGGAACTGCATCAAGTCCAACAAATCCATGGTTGCAGAAAGTCTTGTATCCTAGACTCAAAGCGTGATCCCAAGTCAGCTCAGAACAGACAAAGTGTAAGAACTCAAAGAAATTCGGCTTGATCAAACCTATATAAAAAGGAAGAACCTAGGACAGACTATCGATCATGCTCTACTAGAGTTGCAGTACTCTCTCAGAACCACACATACCCCATGTACCTATTTGCCATTGCACAAACTTAGAAACAAAATCAGACAAAATGACACTCCTGAAGTTCAAAATGCCCAATATCAACAACAAGGAATAATGTGTGTAATACACAATCTTGAATCGGACTTATGATTGTAAATATATCTTACACAAGCTAATAGGCCAAATTGACTATCGGATCAAACGTTATTGCCATCATTTTATTCAGAAAAAACAAGAAATTTGCAAACCTAGAACTCGTTTTTTAGGTTTAGAAAACATGAGAATTCCTTTATTGCATGGTAATCCATCTATAGATATAAAAGAATCCAGAATGATGAGAAAAATCTCCCTGAAACAAATTGAGAATAATTGGAGGAAACCAGTCTAAAATGCATATCAATCATCAGGTTGAGAAGACAGTCCAAATATATGAGTACCATGAATAGTTCTGTTAAGCCAAGAAACTCTGAGGATACGCACAGACATGCCAAAAAAGAAATTTTGAATGAAAAGGTGGCTGATCTACATACAACACAAAACAACAAAAAGCAAAAAAAAGTTGGGAGGAGCAGAGGAAAATCAGCAAGCAATGGCATGAGAAAGGAAATAATGATCCCATGCCAATATGCTCCACTTGCTATAAGCATATGCAAGTACTGCTTCTAGCTTACAGACTCATCACTTTTCAGAAAAATCTCTCTCCACCAATAAGAATGAATGATATTTTCCTTCATTTAAAACTCTTTGATAATCCATATGACATTCAAATTCTCAATTAAAATTCCACTGTAAGCTCAGATATGCAAGACAAGGAATACTCCGACGGCCCTGCAATGGAGACCTAAATGCATATGCCAATTTTTGTAGCCACAATCCCCCTACTCTCATTTGACTTTGCATGCCTTACCAGAACTCTATGGGGAATCAGACATCTTATACATCTAATTTCTATCCTTGTTTCTGCTAAGAGTCTAGATTCAAAATACTTAAATAGGGCCAGACAACCCAACCCCCCCCCCCCAACCAAAAAAAAACTTCAGGAAAATTTTTACTCAAAGACTTGTGCATTCTCCATTTTTCTGTTTCCTTTTTCCTTTACATGGAACACAAATACACCTGAGATTATTCAAGAAATCAAAATTTTACAGAACAAACAGCATTATGACGACAATAACACTATAAATAATGGAAATTAATCAAACTGAATTATATATTAATCAAGAAGCCATCTTGGTAAAGCCTCAAAAACAACATCTAGTCAACCCAAAGAAATCTGATAGATGGAATTGACAGAATAAAATTGGACAAATAACAAGTACAGATAAGATGATTAGAATACAAAATTCAAGAAGTTTATTAACAAAAACTAGCGTACATGAAGAGAAGCTCTATAACGGGCAATGTTTAAGTTGAGATTGGAAGAGACAAGTGGGAAGTAATATAGGAGAACTGGAGATGGGGGAAGAACAAAAATATGGGAAAACTGCGAGGGCAAGACGTAAGATTAGGACGGTTAGATACCCAAAAAAATATGAAAAAAAGGGAAAAAAACTCAGTTTAAGTCAAGACTTATAGAGATAGAGTTTAATTCTTCCTAGTTTCCATACAAACATGCCTTTTACAATTCAGTTAGGAGTAAGGGTGTGCATCGAAATCGTAATTGGTAATTTGGAACTTTGAATTCGGAATTTTTTGAAATTTTGACATCAGGAAAACCGACCGAATTCGATTTTGATTTCATCAATTCCGAATTCAAGTTCGATTCCGAATTCAATTTGGAATTCGGTAATTTCCGATTTCACCGGGGAACCTTTTTTTTTCCTTTACTTGATTTGAAACATAGAAACATGGATATAAACTAAACCATTTAAAACAACTTCTCACAAGTCATAGCCACTGTCATACGAGAATGAAATACAACCATTTGTCACAATCTAATCATAACTAGTGACTTAACATTCACTCACCAGTTAAATAGTCGTAGGTAAATTTCGCAACTACTGGAATACTCACAAGTCACAACAATCCCATAAAAATGGAAACTTTACCATGATCCCAACAACAATTTAATAAAAAATACATATGCAGAAGCTCTTCGATGAAATGCCTAAAAGAAATAAACTAGAAACACAGATTAATAGCCGAGAAAAGATTAAGTAAAATGAATGCACTCCCTATAAACTGTAAGTCTGTATCGAAATTTCTTCAATATGTGAACAAACCTTGAAGACGAAGGCTGAAGATGGCTAGACGATGAAGGCTGAGAGTGAGAGAGAGAAGATGAAGGCCGAGAAAAGATGAAGCTCCTTCTCGGCTGGAAGCAGCGGAGGAAAGTGGAAACCAATGTTTTAAAACCCGAACCGTTAATTGAACCGATGAAGTGAAAGGGTCGAGGTTCAACCGCGGTTTAATAAATAAATTAATAAATAACTATATATATATATATACACACACACAATCTCATACATACATACCTATGCATAGAATAAAATATAAATGTTATACCATAATTAACATAAGAGCAATATTATAGTTATCCAACTTACATGTCCAATTGTCTAAATATTAGAATTAACAAAAAAAATATAAGTCTAGAAAACACTTAAAAGGTCCAAAAAAGTTCAATTTCTGAGGCCTCTATAATCTTCTTCGTCATTCTAGGACAACAAAGCTTTAAAAAAAGCCACCTTGACAAGTCGTCACCAGCATCCAAGACCATTTTATGAATCACTGGCAAGTGATAAAAGTATAAAATTCATATTAATACCGTAAACCAATTCATAGTGCAAAAACCAGTCCATGATCACTAGAGGGAAACTAAAAATTGTAAAACATACTACAAAATCAACTAACCATATGCATATCAAAAACAAAATGAACGAGACTATATTAAGAGGTTACTCAGCTCAAATTCACATCCTTAATTTGTTGATAACAGTCCCCTTAATTCATTGCGTAGACTAAATAATCCACCATTTTTTTAAAAGTCCCCTTAGATTGTGCTACTAAAACATCTGCCACGAGGCAATATTAAAGATCAGATAAACGAGGGAAAACAAAATATAAGAGTCAGAAAAAGAACAAAGATAACTTGCATGATTCAAGAATCTCAAAATGTTGCTTTCCAGCACCTTAATAGTCGTGGAGATAGAGGAAGGAGGTGGGGATGGGGGTGGGGGGAAAGTTGAGCGGTAATTTCAGGGAAATTATAGAAAGTTTGGAGTTTAAGATTCCACCATTAGATGACAAGATGTAAGATATCCCACTGATTTCTCTCGTACAGACATATGTATACGAAGGAAATTCCCAGGTCTTAGCATATTATCAGCAGTAGATGGCAGCCAATTAAATGGGGTTCATGCACATTAATCATATCCACGATACAGTGCCTAAGTAATTTATGGCTAGATTAATCTTTGGTGGTATCAAGTCTTATTTTTGTAGAATGTTCTGTACCTAATCATATGCTTTAGATGATTAACTTAGCTCAACAAGATCACTAAATCAGCAACCTTACTAGGCCCCATCAAGATCGGCTTCTTATTTGAATAAAGTTTGTCACATCCTCATGATCAAGCAAGATAAACCCTGATCATGGTCAACAAATAAGTAATCATGCGTGCAATCATCCAATGATCCAATGACATAACCATTGTACTCCAGTCTCCAGAGAACAAAGAAACTGAAACAGAGAACAAAGAACAAAACTGAATAGCTAGTCTGGAGATTATTCTAGTAAACTGAAACAGAGAACAAAACTACCCAACTAATAAAAATTCCACCGCTATTTTCCTCCAAAAATTCCAACATTTTCCCGTCAAGATAATCTGGCAACTTATTTTTTGGGTAGTATTTAAAAATTTCAAAAAAACCCAAAAAAAAAAGTACAGCAAGATCAGAAATATACTAACAAAATTTAAAAAAAAAAAAAAAAAAAAAGAGAAATTGATGAGACATATATACAGAGGGCCGAAAAAGAAATTGATGATACATATAAACAGAGGGCTGAAGGGATCAAGTTTACTTGTTAAGATAGAACTTCGTGATGAGCACCAACAGCAAATCGGCAAGTCCGCAAGAGCAGCCAAGCAGGAAGACCGAAGACGCCAAAGACTGGAGTAGTTGACTGAGAAGCCAAGCAGTCGGCAAAAGCAGGAAGCCGAGCAGTCGGCAAAAGCAGCGGCAGCAGCCAAGCAGGAAGACTGAAGACGGCGAGGAGGCGAAGAGCCGAAGACTGGAGTAGTGGAGTGAACTGTGAAGAGTAGATTGAAGATTAGCCGATTAGGTTTAGAAATTAGATGACGTTCGGTTTAGACGTTTAGTCCTTTTCGGTCAAAGACTCAAAATTCAGTCAATTTTCTGAAAAAATAAAAAACCCGCGGTTCACGGTTCGATCCGAGTTTAACGGTTTGAACAATTTTTTACGGGTTTGACAGATTCTTTAACCAAGTCAACATAAGTTATGAACCAGACCAGACACATGGCCGGTTCGCGGTTCGACCGGTCGAACTGGCCAATCCGGTCCGAGTTTGAAAACCTTGGTGGAAACTAGGACTAGGGGTGAGCATTCGGCGCAAATGCGGTAAATCAGTGCGCTGAATTCGGTTTTTTGGTTATTGCACCTATAGAAATCTAAACCGTTTTCATTTTCGAATTGGGCATTACCGAATTCATAAGGTACCCGATTTCAAATTCGAAAACGGTAATGAATTCGGTTAATTACTCGGTCTAACCGAATTCATCTGTTATGTAAAAAAAAACCCTGAAGCAAATTAAGAGAATATATAAAACCAATCTTTATAGTTCAGCAACTACCAACCCCCGCAAGCCATGAGAAAGCTACAAATATTAGACTGAAAATATGTAAAGAAGCTAGACATATGTAGGCCTTCTACTGGTTTGTAGTTATAAAAGCTAAATTGCTCTCTTCGATATGTTCTAGACTTGCTCCAATGCTTTCCATTACTTATGCAGGAGCTGATTACTTTTATTGAGCTTATTGAGGTGACCTTTCTGCTTATTTATACATAGATGTTTCTTCTTTTACACATTGCAGAAAATTCATATCCAGAATCCTAGGTACAACTTCTGGAGCCGTATTTTCACTAGATGTGCACCAGAGATTGAGAATCTCCACGGACAAGGAGGTAAACTTTTCAATTTAGCAAGTTTTTTCCTCTTTAATTTTTCTAACGGGTAAAAGGTGGAATTTTTCCCCAAGGCCGTGACTTTTAAAAGCTGCACAACTGGAGAGAGCTTTCTTGTGTATAAAATACAAAGCTTATGTTATATCACACCTAATCTAAACTACTACAACAGTTAGAGTTTGCAATTGGAAGCTCAGATTTCGTCCCCTTATCAATTCAGGATAACAAATTTCCTAGTCGATCTTGGCCCATTTTAATGCCAGAGACACAGAGCCAAAAACAGAGGAGCACTTACCTAAGCGAGCCAGAGATGAGCAGTGATGAACCAGCGATGAACCAGTGAGATCTTGGTGCTTCGTCTTCGACACTCGGCAGCGATGAACCAGCACGGCAGGACACAGCCGACAGGAGACGTAGAGCGCGGCGGAATGGCGGATGCCGGAGAGGCGGAGAGCAGCTTCGATTTGGGAATTGGGACTTGGGACTTGGGAGTGTTAGTGCGGTGAAAGCCCTAGGCGACGGCAGTCACGGCACTATGCAATATTGCAAATTTGCAATGGTTGTTTTCTCACTTTCATCAGCTGAAGATGAAATCCGACTTTTCCCAAATGAAGTGATTTTGTAATTTTTAATTTATAAATTGGGGCTCTTAAATTATAATACATTCATTATGCTCCTCAATGATTTAAAAATTATTACTGATTTGATCCCCAAATTTATTCATAATTGAACACATTACTTATGTTCAAATCATTTTGTGGTTTAATTGGCATTTATTTGATCACTTATACCTAAAATCCTTGGTCTATGATTTAAGAAACATATAAAAAGTGATTAATTTAAACTAAGTTAGTTAGTAGTTACAATGAATTTATAATTTAAAATGATTAATAATAAGTAATATTAGTTACAAACTTACAAATTACAATGAATCAATGATTAGTGATAAGTTACATTAGTTACAAACTTATAATTTATTTCAAATCAAAATAAAACTTATTTACTTGATTTGCAACTCACATGCATTCACTTACACTGTTTAGTTGTTTTGTCTATACTTAAAACCTTAAGATTAGTAAATAGATAATATGAATTTTAACTTATTTGATCACTTATACCTACAATCCTTAGTCTATGATTTAAGGAACACATAAAAAGTGGTTAATTTAAACTAGAATAAACCTTAGACTATACAATGATTAGTAATAATTTATGAATTTATAATTTACAATGATTAATACTAAGTAATATTAGTTACAAACTTACAAATTACAATTATTAGTGATAAGTTATGTTAGTTACAAATTTATAATTTATTTCAAATCAAAATTAAACTTATTTACTTACATATGTTATTGTGAAAGTCAATATACTAATACATTGATTTACAATTCATATACATTCACTTACACTGTTTAGTTGTCTTATCTATATTTAAAGCCTTAAGATTAGTGAATATGTAATGTAAATTTAGAGTACACTAATACTTGCAAGTTATAGATTACGCATTCAAATATTCAATAATTCAAATATGAATGATGTATCAAATTACCAATATCTAAATTCTAATTACTAATTATGTTTATTGTTTAATATTTAGTATTATACATATATGTATTAATTATTATCTAATTCTAGTCATGTTAGTATGTTACTCATGTATAAAATAATTAGTTATCTTATATTGTAATGTATTACTATGCATTATTGTAGTCATATAACAATTAATAAATACGAAAATTATATAAATATATTGTACATTATTATATATTATTAGTATTATAAGTACATGATATGATGATAATATCATTTACTAATTATTATTAATAGCATTTACCTATATAATATAATAAAGTATTAGTAGTATATACTAATACTAAATAGCATTTATCTATATATTATATAATTTTATATATCAATTTGGTATTCGAATGCGGTAATGCGGTACCCGATTTCAATTACCGAATTTTGAATTCGAAATCGGTTATTACCAAATTCATAATCTCATTACCTATTTTATACCATATTAAAATTCGGTGAATTCGGTATGTACTGAATTGATACCGAAATACCAAATACCCAATTTCAAATTACCGAATTGAATTTGAAATCGATTATGAATTTGGTACGAACCGAATCTGCTCACCCCTAACTAGAACAGTAGTAGACTAGCAGTGAGCCTGTGAGATTTAGAGACAAGTGTGTTTGGACGGCAAATTATTTGCTAAAATTTATTTGCTTACATCACCATTACAATTTCCAACATACCTTTTTATCTTTTCAATTATATTTTTATCTCATATACATCACATCACAAAAAACAAGTTTTGCTTTTTTGTCCTTCTGAAGTTTTGTTTTGTATTTCTAATTTTATTATGATTATATATAAATTTTGCTAAACTAAATGCTAACTTTTGTATAATATATGTTTATAATTATAACATAATATACAACAAACTTAATAAGACTTATTATTGTATTGTTAAACAATATAATTATTAGTTAGATATATTACTATAATATATAAATTTTATATTACATATAATATACATATATAATTTGAAATCGAAATAAAAAATTTCGATTTCAAAAACTCCATTACTGAATTCGAACCAAATTCGTAATTTCGAAAACGAAAATTTCAATTTTCATTCCGAATTCTGATTTATCGATTTCGAAAATTCTGAATTCAGTAGATAAATCGAAATTTTTCGATGTTACACATTCCTAAGTGTGAGAGAAGAATAAAGAAAAGACTATAGAAAGAGTTACGTGAAAAGAGGGAATAAATGGAGACTGAGTGAGACAAGAGAAGGCGGCACCTAACCAATGTTTTGAAAACTAGACCAGACCGGCCAGTTAGACCCGTTGAACAACGAACCGGCAATGACACCGGTCTGATTCTATATCAAAGTTGAAAGTGTCAAATAACTGGTCAAGATTGGTAAACTTGGTCGAACCGGTGATTCCCAATTTTTCAATTTTCCCTTTAATATTTTTTTAAGTTTTGCAAAACACAGCTAAGAATCGAATTTGGGACCTTTGCTATTGAAGTCCAGCATAGTAACCATTGCACCATCACATCAAATTAAATTCTTATGATAACACATTTATATATAACAAACCTCCATCTTTCTTTCCTCCATTTTCCCTACAAAATCTCATCCTCTCATAATTCTTTTTTTCTAATTTTCAACTCTCTCTCTCTCTCTCTTCTCTTTTCTTTTGTCACCCCCCCTCTTTAATCCAACTTCTTTAGATTTAATTTTTGATGTTTTCTTCCATCTTTTGTTTTTGTCTACTAAATTGAAAAAATTAAAAAAAGAATTATTTTTCTTTAACCCTAAAAACTAATTATCAAATGCCACAACCACTCACTTTCATCTCATTTTTTGCTTCTTATCAAGTTTGCATCTCTATTTTTTATTCTCTTGACTTCCTCCAAATTCCAAACTTCTTTTTTTTTTCTAAGTTACGCATCCCATTTTTCGAAAGATAAGATTTAGGCATTTACAAAAGAAATGAATTTTTATTAAAAGGTGAGTGAAAAAATGCATTTTTAATTTTGGAGAATAAATAAAGAAAAAAGGCTTAAAATGGGACTTTAAAGAATGCGACAATTTGAACCCAAAAAAAAATTTAGCCTGAAAAGGGTTTTAAGAAAAATAGAAGTCGTCACTTGGTATTGAATTTGGGTGTATCAAGTCACCCAAAATATTTTTCTAACAAAATTTAAATAAAATTTAAAAATAAAATAAAATAAAACCCTTTCGACAACTCCAGATCTTTGAAAACAAGAGAAAATGAGTTTGAGAGTCACGGTTGAAAAAAGAGAAGGCAAATGTTCGATTAACTCAAATCTAAGACACCCTTTCTAACTAGTCTAAGTTAGTTGCGAGATTTAGTCAAAATTTTCCTAATCTAACTTTTAAATTTATCACGTTAAGATGATTCCTACATGGATACAAATCTAAATTTATAGAAGGTATCGAAATGGGCAAAATATCCATTCAAGCTGTCGCGCCCCATTTTTTGATAAATAAATAAATGGTTTAAAAATGTATTTTTGTTATTCAATTTGTGATTGGAGAAAGAAAAGTGGGTCTAAATGGGGGTTTGAGAATGCGACGATTTGATCCAAAATTATAGTTTAAAAAGGGTTTTTTGAAACAAAATACGGAGTCGCCACTTGGTATAGAATTAGGGGCACACTGTAGACACCAAATTTTTGGTGTAATTTCATTTACTGTTTATTTTTAGTTTTTTATTTGTTTGTCGTGTTAGTTTTATTCGATTTTTAGTTTTAGTTTCTAGTTTTATTTTTAAGTTTTTAGCATAGAACTTCTTAGAAAAAAAGAAAAAAAGAGAAAAGAGGAAAAAGGAAAAAAACAATGAAAAATGGAAAATGGAAAAAAAGGAAAATGGAAATTGCATTTTGTTGTTTCTAGTTTATTTATTTTTATCCAATGTTAATTCAGTTGTTTTTATTATTATTATTATTATTATTATTATTATTATCAATTTTGTTTACTTAATTTATTAGTTGAAAAGATTAAAAAAAAAAAAAAAGTGTCGCATGCATGCTGCATTTTTTTGCAGCTTTGCAAGGAAGGACTAGGCGGCTCCTTGGCTGCAAATATAGAAGAGTGGTTGAGGATTTAGGGTTGGACGTCTGATATAAAAAGAAAAAGGACAGCAGCCGCAAAGGGATAGAGAGAGAAGGGGTGAGATTGACGGTTAAAAGGAAGAAAGGTTTGGCTATGAAAGGGGGAGGATCGGAGGGAAAGAGAGAAAAACAGAGGAAAAAAGGCTACGAGGGGTGAATCGAGGGAGATAGTATCTGGAGTGGCGGCTAGGGTTGAAAAAGGGAGAGTTTGGTTGAGGGAGAGGAAATCAAAAGAGTGAATAGCAAGGGAGTTACGGGCTGAGTCAAACGGAACCAGGGAAGAACTGAAAAGGAAAAGATTGAAGTCTGGTGAACTGAGAAACCAAGCAACAAGGGAGCGGCTATGAAAGGAGGGAACTGGCGGGAATCAGCAACCATCATCGCCATTAATCATCACCTGCAGAGCTTTGTAAGCTATGTTCTTCCCTCAAATTTCAGTTTTAAGCATGGACGCTTGAAGCTCTCTGTTGTGTTTTTATCTCAATTGTCTGGAGGACTGTTTACGTTTTTTTTGAAAGATTACCGCTTTATTTGTTGACTGGGTTGGAATTTCTGGTTTTGTCTGACACTTTTGAAGGCTTGCCGTGTTTGATGGAAGCCCATTTTCGTAGCTTGTATTATGTTTGTTTTAATTGTTGGGTCTGTTTGTAGTAGATGACTGCATCTTAGGTGAGTCTATCAACGTTGGGCTATGAAGCTTCCTTAACGGGAATTTATGAATAAGGGACATTCATGTTGCTTCGCTGAACTTTGTGTTCGGTTGATCTTTGTGTTTGGGTGGTGTTAATGTTTTTTTTGCATTTGATTTTGATTGTTGAATTAGCAGATTTTGTTTGAATTACTTCACACGAGCACGTCTAGGTGAATCACCAGATATTGTTGAAGTTGTAAGAACCCAGAATTGT